AAAAAGTTAATTCCGGCCAAAATTATGTAATGCGGGCCCAATCCGTGAAAATTTGGTGCGGCAGCTAGGTTCAATATCCAAGAACCAAACTGAAAATTTAACAATATGTCCAGAGACCATTTACCCACAGATTCTTCTAAATAGATATATCGGGCTCTTGATTTAATATGCATAAAAAAACAAAAGATTTTTTTGCAATTTACATTGTGTTTTGGTTAATATAATTTTGCCTCTTATTTTATTAAACTTATATTTATATATACAAGATCTGGTAACCATAAAAATATAACCAGATGGACCCTAGGTAGAAGTATCTAAAAATTCTGATATATCATGCCCAAGCAAATTTTCTTCTTCACCTAGCAATTGAACATGATCATTACTTTCATTAGGATACATCAACTGAACAGATTCAAAGTTTTCAGCACAAAGAGCATAAATCATGTCTTTTCCTTTTTGTTCTGGAAGTTCTTTCTTACTATTTCGAATATCAATAATTGCTCACTCCTTTGCATATTTAAAAATAGAGGCATATTGACCATTTTTTTGAAATTTTTGTTGATGTTCTTGCAATTTGTCTCCATTTCGCAATAGTTCAATTGCCCAGTTACGTTGGTCATTTATATAAAAATATAAACAGCCCTCTGATCCAAATATTGCTCCAATATCTACCGAGGCATAAATGTCTGCAGGAAGAACTTGCATTGATGCATGGTAGAACTCCATTTGCCATACACGTTCAAGAAGACGATAATCATTATCTATATCCAAGCTTTTTTGTAACACTTTAGAGCTTATTTTTGCGAACACCAAAATGATGAAGTCTTTGAATGAATTAGGTGGTGATTTAGATCGCGCCACTGAACCAAACCGATTTTGAAGATATGTTGCCCGAACCAATGGTGCTGGAAAGTTAATAGTTGAATAACCTTCTTTTATCATTCCAGTATCAACAAGAATATTTGTCTTAATAATTCAACTCCTAAGCGGAATTGCATTGGTTAGAATTTCAAGACCTTCTTTTTTGAAGAGTACAGTATCTGCAATTCTCTTTTCTTCATCTAACATATCAGTAATTTTTGGCATTGCACGAATATCCTTATTATATAAACATTGTCAGTAAATATTTCATTCATTAGAATTTTTACAAAAATTTATATATTTACCTTTAAATAATCATTAAAATCACGAGATTTGAGATAAGCAAAAACTTTTGCAAATGTTAAATGTTCAAAAGTATTTTTGACGAATCTCATATGAATTTGGTTCATGGTAAAGGCAACTAAACCGGAATGGAAAGATGTTATTTCAGACACATAGCAAGAAAGAAGTAGAATATCTTCTTCTTTCAGCATTTGAAGATTTTTTACACAAAAGTAATTAAAGTAACTATTAAATTCTTCTTTGGTAAAACAAACATCTTCAAATCTCCACATGTTGCTTTTTTGAAGAGAACATGGTGAAATATCCATAATTGCATGATCTCCATGAGCAGTGTAAGCACCATAATATCCATATGAAGCAAATGCTACAATATAAACTCTCGAGGATTGTAATATATATTTAAACGAATCCCAAAATACACTTCTACCATGGCGCGGTTCTGCTTCATTCTCTGGCTTATAAATCTTTTGCACCTCATCAATAATCAAAAAAGTTGTAGTAATACCACATTTATCAAGAAATTCATCCCATGTCACGTTCATAAGCTCTTTAAATCTTTCTGCAAATGTCCATGATTCATTTCTTCTTTCCATCCATAATAATGAAATGCGAAAAACACGCTTCAATCCCTTTTTTACATCATTTGATTGGAGTATGCCATGTTCAAGTAATTGCGCAAGTGTAGTTTTGCCAGCCATTGGTGGTGATCTAACTAGAATAATACGTCTTTCAAGCAGACATTTAAGCAGTCTGTTGATAGTTGGTTCTCTCTTACATACGGTACCAAGAGTAAGATCAACACTTTCGTAGGCATCACCATGTTCTTCTCCCTGATAAGTTGTTCCTCCAAGTTCTTCTTTTCAATGTAAAATAAGAAAATAAAATAAATAAAATGTACATTGGTATAAAAGTCAAAAGATTATATATAGCTCATACCTAGTCTCGATATTTCTGTCTTGTTTTTAAACGCGCCTGTTGAGTTGTTATTGTGTGAAAACGATAATTAGAAAAGAGAATTAGTCAACTTCATCAAATTCCCTTGTTCGAGAGATAAAACATTAGAAGACACTTACCAGTGACGAAAGGACATTGTACAATTATATGGATAGTTTCATCCAGAGGTACATATCCTTCTGGAAAAAACTTCCTAAACTTACTAATAATGCACATTTCCCGACCTCCAAGCTGTTCAATTTCAGTTTTCATAAGAGAATTATTAAGTTTTTCTTGAGGAACTTCAACTTTCCAAAGTGCCAATTCATTGTAATCTTTGATATTTTTCATATTATGCCACTTCTTTATAATATTTCATATCAGTTGCTTGAGATAGTCGACAGTGAGATTGTTAATAGAAACGTCATGATTATCAGAAATTTTATTTCTTTCGCAAATGTCAACTGACAAAGCACATTCAGGACCTAGAACATAACAGGATAATATTATTTCTGCCATATTTCTGCAAATGCAAGAATCCAGAGTTAAAAAATCAAAGGTTAAACCTAATTTTTCAATAAAGTATATATAATAACCTTGGCTGACGACCATTTGAATGAATAGACATTTCGATACGTATGATGAACTGCAGATGAACTGTGGATATAAAACTAATCTAAAAATGATAATTTGAAAAAATTCTTAGCCTGGGTATTATATAACATATGATAATTTCAATCAATCGAGAGTTTAACGAAATAAGGCAAGTTTGATCGACAATAGAAAGATATTTTTTTCTGCTTTGCTAATCAATAAGTCTCAACTCAGGAAATTCCAGAATAACTATATGTAGATCTTTGTAATATCAAATCTTGATAATGTTCCGATCCTATCTTTAACAGGCCATCCGTATTCTATTAAATCTGGTATCAGATTAGATTTAAAGCTAACTTTGAGCACATTCTTATGTTCGTTATTTAAGTTCTTTGACCAATCTGAGTAAATATTGTAACCGTTGATGAGAGAGCTTAATGAAATTATATGAATGAAGAGCCAATTTAACTCTAACAGTATACGGGAAGATAATGATAAACTTGAGTAACGAAAGGAGTTGTTTATACTGTTGGAGGTTTATTAGACAATATGATACTATGAAACGAAGGATTTAATATTAAGGGAGTGATAGTGTGGTGATACAACTACAGGTGATGGGATATCTTAACAAGGATGGTGAGGTAAAAGCAGACGATAATCAAGTGATGTCGGTGATAACTTTAAGTCCACGTAAATGATTAACAGGGTTGAATAACCAATCATAAGTATCGTTCTCTACCACAATTCCCGCAAGTCACTAATGTGAATAGCAATATCTGATTCTACAACTATTCTAGAATCCGAGTCTTAATAAGCCAAATCGAAGTTACAAGTAAATTCAGTTTGTCGAATTGAGTCTCGAAAGGGTTTATTAAAGTTACAAGTCGAATTCAAAGACAAAGTCTCAAAGAAAAATTCAGATCAGTATATATTTTATTATTTTGTGGTAATCGAAAGTAGACCTCAACTAACTCTTTCGTTTATTGAATCCATGGTCTTTATATATATTTATTTTTCCACCATGTAGATACCAAAATTTCAACGTTTACACCGAACCACGTATATGCGGATTTTTCGATGTTTACGCGATTCATCTGATTTCTATGCTACTAAGCCACTCATCATTACTATTTTAATATAAGTTATGAAATAATCAAAAGAAATTAATCAATATACTAAAATTGGACATTGTTACCAGAATGGATGGGGAATTACTAATCAACTATGTGCATTCAGATGATTTACTGAGAAAATAAAGAAATTATTTACAATAATATAATAAAATAAAATTTAATGCGTTATATAAACATCTCTGATCTGGATATCGATATCTAAATTTATCTGGATTTAAGGATTAATCCAGATGGTCAGATTTAGGATCGAAGCACTATTATCTCAATAAGAACTATCCAATTTTAATTGCTATTGAGCTGATCACAAATTATCGTAAAAGTGGCACCACCATGAATGTGAACCATGAAATCGTTATTAATCAAATACGAGTTTTTTCAAATATCTAAAGTGCCTATTACAAATACAAAGTGTGTATAGCAAGCACTTTAAAAATTTTTTTTCTCAATCATGTGCTAGACTTGAGATCTATTAAAGGAATTGTTGAAATGAAATAAACCCAGGTACTTTTATGGTAATTGTTTCATGTTGTTTACCCTGTACCTCTATGACAAATCCATACTGCTGATAGTAAATATCAAGTCCTAGTCCTCTAGGATATTCCAGTGTTTTCAAGAAATCTGGCTGGCAAATGCTAGAAGGTGGGCCAAGAACTTCACAACATAAGTTTTCATACTTATTTAAGCAATATGGACACCATAATTTGGAGTGTTTTACATATCCATTGCAGAGAAACATTGTTATTTTATATTGATTAGAAAGACACATGGCTCCTTTGTTGTGAGCAATTTCTTTAGCTTCTGTAGTACCACAAGGAGAGTTGCCTGCATATTGTGCACACCATCTATTTTTATTCTTTATTCTGACAAAAGGTGTAGTTCATTCATGACTTTTAGCAAAACTCCAAAGCATTGAAAAATCTGAATCAACATATTTTGTAGAAAAACATTTACCGTCTTGCTCTTGTGTAATATTTTGTGTAGAGATGAGCACCATGTGTGTGGCTGGAAAACTCATATGAACTTTGATTACTAAAATTACATTTTTTTATTCAAAGGAATCTTTTACAATTGTATTATTACATCTCTTATTTAATTTCATTTTATTTGCATTATTTAGTATAAAATATTAAGAACCTATCAATTGACATATTTAAGATAAGCTACACAAGTTGGTATATGACTATTTAAGATAATCTCTTACAATAAATTAAATGAAATTAATTAATGTGAATGAAATCAGCACGTATAGATAAGCATTCAATTAATATATCCTTTATAATAAAATTATTGTCCTTAACAAGCGTCCATTTATTTAATAACAATAGCCAATTTGAGACTCATGACTATTGGTAGAATTTGATCATTCAAATTATTTATTCAAACAAAAAAACTGAATATGACATATAGTACATCTGAATATGGAAGTGATTTCATGCAAATTATCATTGTTCGGACCAATCAAAATAGCATAACATGATTGATCGACCAATCAAATTACTAGTTTACAAAATTTTGGGATTCAAAGGGATTCAAGAAATATGTTATAAAGCAAAGTGTAAGCTTCTA